GTATAATCAGGAAGGAGGAGGAGACCAGCTTAGAGAGATATAAGACAGAATAGTGGCACAATAAGGATCTGGGTTCTTCTATACATACTGGGGCATCTTTGGAAGTTTAGTAACATGCCTTTTAGGAGGATCAGGCAGCATTTACACACAGAGAGACAGGAAAAAACAGGACTAGGGACACTAGCTGTGAGGCTTCTGCAATAATTCTAATCACATACAATGAAGACCTACGCCAGGATAATGGCTGCTGAAATGGGATAGAGATAAATGTGAAATCTGCTATAGCTCAGCCTAGATGTTAGCAACCTTTTCTGTAAAAGACCAAATAATAAACCTTTGTGGACTATATGGTCTCTGTCATAATTATGAGCAATTGTACAATTCTGCCATTGTAGCTGAAAATAGCCACAGACAATATGTAAATGAATAAATGTGACTGTGTTCCAATAAAACTTTATGTATAAAAAATTTTATATATGGACACTGAAATTAGAATTTCATATAATTTTCATGTAAAGGAAATATCATTTTAAAATTTATTTTAAAAACCTAAAATGTAAAAAGCATTCAAAGTTTGTGGGTTGTTCAAAAATAGGTAGTGGGCATATGATCCAGCAATTCCACGGCTGGGTACATAGATCTAAAAGAAAGGGAATCGGTATCTCCAAGAGAAAGCTGCATGCCCATGTTTACTGCAGTACTATTCACAACAGCCAATATAGGGGACCAACAGAAGTGCCCACCAACGGGTGGGCAGATAAAGGAGATGTGGTACCCACACACAATGGATGCTATTCAGTCACGAAAAGAATAAAAACATCATCCACAACATGGATGGAACTGGAAGCCACTCTGTTAAGTGAAACAAGCCAGTCACAGAAAAATAAATTTCCCAGCGTTCCCTCATATGTGGGAGTTAAAATGTTTTAAATAGAACTCATGAAGATAGAGAGTATAATAATGGTTACCAGAAACTGGGAAGGGTGGCAGGGAGGGGGGACAGTGCGGGGTGGGTGGTGGGTACAAAAACACAGGTAGATGGAAGGAGTAGATCTAGGATTCTATAGCACACGAAGGTGACTGCAGTCAATAATAATTTATTGCATATTTTAAAATAACTAAAAGAGCAGAATTGGAATGTTCCTAACACAAAGAAATGGTCAATGTGTGAGGTAAGGGATATCCCAATTACTTGATTTGATCATCACACATTGTATGCCTGTACCAAAATATCACATGTACCCCATAAATGTATATGCAACTACTCTGCACCTATAATAAAAATAAAAATAAAAACATGGAGTAGGCCAGAAAGCCTTGACATGCCAATCATGGCCTAGCTGGATGCCACACACAGATCTACTAATCACATCAGCATTTTAACCTTTAAACATCCTGTCATAGAATGAGCCCAACATTATTAAATCACCAGATTTATTCCTGGCCAGAGCTGCAAGTACCTTGAGTAATGGAATCCCATTCAAAATTGTTTTAATCCTTCCCAGAAGACAAATCTGAGCACATTTAAATTAGCCTGAGTACCTATCTTTTGCTTAATTGAATTGTTTAGGAATGGATTCAAGATAGACCTAGAAGGAAAAAGTGCTTTATCCTGGTAGTCTACAAAAAATAAAATCTGCCATCTAACACACTTCACCCCTACTGGACATCCTCATAAATCATCACATAGCGCTTCACCCCTCAGGTGAACATATACTCAGGGTGGGTGCTACGCAATTGCCTTGGCAATAAACAAAGAGGTGCCTCAACACACTTTGTAGATGACTTAAAACTTCCAAAGACCTTTCACTGACTATGTATAGAAATTTCCTCTAAACTAGATAGAAGACAAAAAATTCTTCCCATAAATTCCACCCTAAAGTGAAGTTCTGTTTCAAGTGTAGCATTCTTTTGGCAAGGCAGAGTCAGAGGGTAAATAGGAGAACGGTGTACTACAAGGCACTGCATGCACTGAGGTTACTCCTCTCATCTTTTTGGAATCTCTAGATAGTTTCAGCAAATGTAGCATGACCATCTTGCTGCTGCTTCCTCCTCCTGCTTTTCATTAAACTATCATTTCACATCATTTTATTTCCCCCATAACTGAGGATCCCCTGTTATAACTCTACCCCTAACTGAAGCTCATCCTGTCTTCTAAACTAACACTCCCAGGACTTTGCTTCCTCCCCCTCCTCAAGTGTCTGAAAACTAATAATGTCTAAGAGTTAATAATATTACAACCCATGAACAGCTGAGGTAAATTATAGGGTAACATCCAGCCTAAAAACAGTTTCTCTTGGGTTTCCAAAATTTGATCAACAATGTAATGCTTAAGTAATATAAAATAAGGGACATAGAACCAGAGAGACTTTGATCCAAAGCTTATGTTTAAATACTAAGTATTCAATTGCGACTGTAGACCACTACCACTAAGATGTTTCCCGTGATCCAAATTTTCACTGCATAGTTCTGAACAACTTTTAAGCCCCATTCATTAAGAATCTAACTTTATAGAGGATGGGCTAGCTATATTTGAGGAGAGAATGGTTAACCATATCTCCGACAGACTAAAAAGGAACAGGTTTCCAGGGAAATGAAATCTGGAGCTCACTTCCTTAAAGCTTTTAGCATCTTAACAAAATTGGCCTTCTCCAACACCAAGTTCACTATTAAAAAGTACAAATATGACGGCACCTAAGAGTACCTAGTGTTCCATGGTCTATTACTTTTCCCAAAGTTTTGCAGTACCTTTTCCATTTGGGTTTGCAATTATAAGGATCATCCTTTCACCAGGAGCAAACACTACAACACACAAGTGTTTTCCAGACACTACAAGCCTCTCAGTTTCCAACCCTGAATAACTTGTTACAAGGCAACAAACCATAGCAGGTAGGCCTCAGAGAGAAATATACACGTGTATTTGCTTGTGGAATGCTGCTCACTCCAGCCTGCTGTGGCCTCATCAGGGTGCACCACACCCACTCAGGACATCTCCTTCATATCTCTGGTCACTTACTTTGCCAGGAGGGTAGCTTACATCAGCACACAGTTTCCACCAAATCTCAAAAGTCTGAAGAAAAAAGAAAAAATCTGGATGCTCTGCTACTGATTGACAGTGAGTTCTTGCATAAGTTAAATTTTTTAGACCTCAGATCTATATCCATAAAGATGAGAACAATCAAACGACTGTTCTCAAGGGCTATGAGGAAGATTAAATGAGACTGGTGAAGCACTCCAGGTAGAATGGAGCAGACCTCAGCCCATCAAATAGTGAGAACAGAAGCAAAAGCTGGGAATAAAGTTAAATGAGGTGAGGGGTCAGAGAGGAGACACTTAAATTAGGTGGTAAAACGAGAAATGAAATAAGTTGTGGGTGAGAGACAGTGATGACGAGAGACAGAGCAAGAAGAACCAAACAGCAATATTCTGAGATCCAAATGCTTTAGTGAAGTCGTTCACATTCAATTTCCATTTTATAAAGTACGTTCTCCCCATATTTGTGGCCACTTTCAGCGAGAAAGAGTTTTGTTATTAAATAATACTTTTTGTCCTATTTTGTCCTGCTGGTATAAACATCCCCTTACAACAGATTCCATTCCAAGATTGTTTCAAGGAACCATTCAGGTCAAACATTTGTGAGTCCTCTGTTCTCCAGGCAGCAGACACAAAAGATGAAGCCGGGATGGACGTGTCAATCATCTCTTAAAATAAAATATGCCTCTTACTCTCAACCATCCACAGAAGGCAAAGGAGGAAGGAAGACTAAAAGGTCCACCCAAATGCTAACAGCAGTTGCCTCTGAGAGATGGGATTAAGGATGACACTTTCTGCCACATTATACTTCTATACTCTCCAAATCTTCTATAATCAGTTGTTTGGTTTAGTTTAAACATGAACACAAAAGAACATATCCTTGAGACTGAGAACTTTTATTTGTTAACAGAGTGGTACAAAATTCACAGCAATGAGATTCTGCTTGTGTAATTTTGCTAAAATTTGTCTAATCATTTTTATTTACAAACAGACTTTCAACATAGGCATGGGTCTCAGAAATAATCTAATGAAACATCTGCTTTTTAAAGATGCCAAAATTAAGAGAGTTGAAGTGATTTCTTTACATCACACAAAGTTTCAGCTTCAGGACTAAAGCCAAGGGGCCTTGGCTTCCACCTCGGAGCTCCTTCCACTCCGCCCCTGACGCCTCCCTAAGACCACCGCCCAGGGGAGCATCTGCGCTGCATGAGGTGCCACGGGGCTCAACCTGGTCCCCGGACTCAGGGGAGACAGTCCTTGAATAAAGACAAACTGACATGAGCTCTGCCTTCATTACAGGAAACCGTTGTACCTGCCGATGAAAAGCAGCATTTGAGCCCCGGGAGTGGGCACGTCGTCAGAACATTCTGGTACCGCTCACAGCTGTAAACGCTCCACAGTTGCAAGGGAAGCGGTGGCGGATGAGAGTTAGGACAAGTTAGCGAGCAACTCAGCCGCTGCCGGATTCCACCACGCATTCTGCCGACCTTCTCTGTGCACTAGCACCCCTGTCCTTGGAAGGGAGAGAAGTACGCCCGCCTTTCTGTTGCTGGTGGCTCCAGGCTGGCCCCGGCCCCGGGCACACGAAGCCACCGCTCCTGCTCACCTCCTTCTCCCGGCGTGGACTTCCCACGCGATGGCAGGCCAGGCGCAGGGGTCGCCCACCGGCCGCGAGCGGGGCCGCCAGCCCTCCGGCGCGTGCTGACCCCGGCCGTCGAGGCACCGCCATCAGGTGCTCTGCTTCGGGGGGCCGAGCTGGACGGCCCAGAGGCCCTTCTGCGAGAGGAACGGCGGAGGGGACCCGGGGACACGCGACGGCCCCAGCGGAGAGGCGCAGCGGGCGCCGGACGCCGGGCCCCGCCGCGGGCGGCCAAGGAGCCGGCCTCCTCCACGCCCCACGGAGAACGCCACACCATTTGTAAGCGGAAACGCGCGCGACAGCCACCTTCTAGGACAAAGCCACTCACCTGGCAGGGGGTCGCCCGGCCGCAGCCGCCTCCGAGGACTCCCTGCCGCCGCCGGCATCGCCGCTCCTTTCAAGCGCCGGAGCCAGAAGGGGCAGGTCTCAGGGCTCTCCCTATTGGAGGACCTAGCTGTCACTTGCCCGCGGCCCCGCCCCACTCCCTGGGTGTGAGAGGGCCTTTCCGTTTCCCAAATCCGCGCAGTGCGAGAGGAAGCTCTGACTGGCTGACTGCGGAGACGAGCATACGGCTGGGCCAGTGAGAGGCTGACTTCGCCGCTAGTGGGCGGGCTTGCGTTCTGGGAAGTCGAGACCAAGTCCGGGATCTTCTCTGGAGCCCGAGAAAGCCCTCAGGCGTGGGCGTTCCTCTCGGGCCGAGGTTCCCCCTAGGCGTTTCGCGTCCCAAAGGGCTCCCCTGCGGGTGAAGGGAGGAGCCGGCGGAGTCTGGGAGCGTGAGGTGATGTGTCTTCTACTCCGGCAAAGGCGGGCTTGACCCCCGGGCTTCTTGACACCCGCTCCTCGGGCACAGATGCTCGCGGACTTGGGCTCTTCGAGCGGAAGACGAGCCTGCGGAGCGCGGACGACGGCACAGCCGGGGTGGGCAGCGGCTCCGCCATGGTCTCTTGCTGCTCTTCGGGGGACGCCCCGAGGCGGTTTCCTGCGGCGTTTTAGATGCCGGAGCAAAGCGACGAGGGCACCAGAGCTCGGGCGCCGCAGCGGGGCCGTGGCGGAAACGGGGAGCGGGACCTCGGTGGCCGCGGTCCTGAGCAGAGAAACCCTGGAGACATCCTAACCCGGGGCTCCCTACCCTAGGCAGAGAAGCCCGTGAGATGCCCTGGCCCGGCTCGCGGTCCTGAGCAGAGGTCCCGGAGATGCCCCAACCTGGCTCGTGATCCTGAGGAGAGAAGCCCGCGACATGCTCTGACCTGGATCGCGGTCCTGAACAAAAAACCCCGTGAGATGCCCAGACCCGGCTCGTTGTCCTGAGCAGAGAAGCCCGGGAGATGCCCTCACCCGGCTCGCGGTCACGGGGCAGAGACACCCGTGAGGTGCCCTAGCCCGACTTGTGGCCGGTCAGCTTCCAAGACGAGACCGCGGCGCACGACTTTGGAGCCTGGAGGTCGTGGCTTTGGGCAAGAGAGACGAGGAGTCGGGTGTCTGCCTGGCCGCGCGGAAGAGGCCCTTCTCTCGTGTCCCCCTTGGAGTTTCTCCTGTTTCGTTCTCCTGGCGAGTCTAAGTAAGGTGTGTGACCAGCAGGCAGGTCCTCAGGGTAATTATACATGTGTTGGAAAGGTCGACTTTCCACGTGTTAACTCGCACACCGCGTGTTGCCCTCACTGAGACCCGCATATGTGTAGCTAGTTCTGTACCTCATTTATCCGTCTCAGGGCACGACAGTTCCTCCCGGGACCCCAGAGAAGAGGACTTACCTTGTGGAAGAGCAGAAAACAAAGGCCCGACAGGTCCCGCTGCGATGGGACCCTTCTGGTGACAGAGCTTAACTTGCACCAGATTAGCTAGGTTCAGGTCGGAACAGCTAGAGGAGGCAGCTTCCAGATCTTATACACCCTTGCTGTTTTCTTTCTTTTCTTTTTTTTTTGAGTTGGAGTCTCACTCTGTCGCCCAGACTGGAGTGCAGTGCCCGCTCCCGGCCACCGCAGCCTCGGCCTGCTGGGCTCCGGCGATCCTCTCCGCCTCAGCCTTCCGAGTAGCCGGAACTACAGGCGCGCGCTACCACGCCCAGCTGATTTTTTGATTTATTGTAGAGATGAGGTCTCGCTGCCCAGGCGGATCTCGAACCCGCAGGCTCAGGCAGTCCACTCACCTCAGCCTCCCAAAGGCTTGGGATGACAGGCTGAGCCACCGAGTCCGGCTCGCTGTTTTCTCCGTTATCAGAGGAGGACAATTTCTACTGCAGTGGAACAAAGCTTCCTGCTGGGAGGGCCCACCAGCCACACTGCGAAGATACAGAGCCATCCCCTAGCGGCGTGTCTTCTGGCGTTGGACACGTAGGGACACTTGTTCAGGACTTAAGGGCACTTGCTTATTGTGTCTGGTTTTACTGTTGTTATGGATACCCATGGAATGCTAGCTGGTCACATAAAACCTTGACAGTATCAGGCAGAGGTCCTCAAACTTTTAAAACGGGGCCAGTTCACTGTCCCTCAGACCGTTGGAGGGGCGGACTATAGTCTGCCCCTCTTGTGTGGACTATATGCTCTTGTGCGGACTATAG